TCAGGCTCAGGCCCTCATACTGGCCTCTGAGTCTCGGGGGCCAGTGCTTCCTGGGGTCCCTGGTCCCACTGCGGGGCTCAGTGGGCAGCACGGTCTGTGTGTAGGTGGCACGGGCTGGTCCTGGAGCACAGGTCTGCAGAGGAGGGAACCCAGGGAGCCAGCTTCTGCAGGGCAAGCAGCTCCCGTGAACCTGGCTGTGCGACCAGCCCCACAGAGGGCACAGGAGCCAGGGGGCTGGGCTGCCAGAGCTGGCACTGGGAGCCCCAATTTCCAGCCCAGATGGTCTGAGTCTCTGTGACTCCTGAGACGACAGTGATGTGCTCTGCAGTTGTGTCCCGTGGGTGCGGTAACAAATAACCATACACTCAGTGCTTAGGACAGCATGGATTTATTACCTGACAGTCCTGCGAGGCCCAGTCCAAAGTGGGCTAAAATCAAGGTGTGGGCAGGGCTGTGCTCCTTCTGGAGGCTCTAGGAGGAGTCTGTCTCTTGCCCCTTTCAACCTGTAGAGGCCGCACGCATTCCTGGTCTTGTGGCCCCTTCTCCATCCTCAAAGCCTACAGCACACACCTGCCAATCCCTGCCTCCCTCTGACCTCTGCTTCCATGCTCACATCTCCTCCTCCCCACCCTCTGACCCTCCTGCCTCCCTCTTATAAGGACCTTGTGATCACGTTGGGCCCACCTGGATATGCCAGGATAACCTCCCATCCCAGATCCTCAACTCAGTCCCATCTGTAAAGGTAGGTCCCTCTGCCAGATGAGGGTCTGGGGATGAGGATGTGGACATCTCTGGGGGATGTTCGTTATTCAACTGACCACATTGTCCTGAAAGGCCACTGTACCTATGGCTCTTCAGGTCACAGCCGCAGCCAGGGTCACCGGCTCAGCACCTGCGGGGTCCTTGCAGCCATCTGAGAACAGCTCAGCCCTGCCATCACGTGGGGTGCCTTGGGAGTGGGGCGGAAAGGGTTTGGATGACGTGTTCCTGCCTTACTTTCTGAGCAAAACTCATTTCTATTAAGGCGATTTGCTCAGTTCAAAGGGGCCGAGATCTCAGAGTGGAGGGGACCCCGGCAGGAGGTTGTCTGGCCAAGTGCCTGTCCCTGTAGGCCTCTGTCGTCCAAGTGGGAGGCCCCAAATCCTTCACCCTTGAGCTGGCTCGCTGTGTCCGGAAGCTGATCCTGGCTGACAGCAAACAGCAGGCACCGGAAGCCTGGGTGTGCTTCAGCTCCCCGCCCCCCCAACCCTGTCTCCATCACCACAGCCCCCTGCCACTACGAGACGGTGCGGCCAGGGTGAGAAGGGCTTGGCCTAGCCGACCTGGGCCTGTGCATTTTCAGAAGGAGCGTGGAATTTCTGGAGGGACTAGTGGCTGAGAGAGGTGGGGCCGGGCCCTGCGGGGATGCTGGAGTCCCACTGTTCCTGTCCACATAGCAGGAGGACACTTACATCATTACTTTTCCCCCTCTCGGGGGCCTTGGATGAAGGGATCTGAGCTCAGGGGGAAAGGGCCTCCTTCCTGAGCCCTTCAGGTGGGTGCCACCCACCCTGCCCTGCCCATTGGGCATGAGTCTGCCCCCCAGCTGACTCTCATTGGAGGGCACCAGGTCCCTCTGTCCCTCGAGCTTCTTTGGGGCACTGTTGGGGGCCTGTTAACCCTTTGCTTTCAAGCTTCTTCCTGGAAACCATCCTGGCCTTTGTGAAGGTTGCACTGATGACTTCATGGTGCAGGTGGAGAGGGTTCCTGGTCTCATTTGCAGCCCCCTCTGGGAGGCAGCCTCAGGGCTTAGGGACCCTGGGGGTCTCCCCAGAGTGGGTGTAGCTTGTGCAGGGAGTGGATGGCTCTGGAGGTCCCAGGCAGAGACCCCGGCCTCCTGGGGCTGTTGGTGTCATCTCTGGGTTGCAGGCACATTCTCAGAGCGTGGATGGGCAGCAGGGTTTCCATAAGTGGTGGGCACAGCCTGGTGGGTGGGTGTCATCCGTGGACTCAGGCTTGGGGACAGCCCTGAAGAGCTTCTCGGTGTGTGCTGGCGCTGGCCGCTTGCAGCTAGCTGTCAACAGTGCTCCGATGCCGGAGTTTTAGGATTTAGTCCCGAAGGCGGGCGTTTTCACGGGGACCGTGGGTGGGAACTGGTGGTGGGAAGGCCTGGTGGTCACAGCCGATCATGGACCTGGTGATTGTTAAGCAGAATTAGAGAGCCTCGGCTCTGTGTAGCCCCTGGAAGTGAGGGATCAGGCTCGCCATGTTTCCCATGCGGTCGAGGACTTGTCGTTTGAAATCATAACATTTTCTCTCAGCGAGGCCATGCCCAGAGGGAGTCTGCCGGTGGCATTTTGAACTGAATGTTGCCTTCCCTCTCAAGGCAAGGACAGCGGGCAGGTCCTCCATTGTCACCCTGGCCAGAGGGCCCCAGACCCTCGGCTCAGAGCTTCCGGAAGAGCACGTGTTTGTCTTTCTCCCCATGGTGACTCCTTGGCGGCTCTCAGAGGCCCCTCCCTCTCTTCAGAGCTGTGAACCCGGCTGCGGGGTGGGTGAGGTTGTTGGATAAAAGGTGTCACCTGGGCTGGGCGTGGTGGCTCACACCTGTAATCCCCACACTTTGGGAAGCCAAGGCTGGCGGATCACCTGAGGTCAGGAGTTTGAGACCAGCCTGGCCAGCATGGTGAAACCCTGTCTCTATTAAAAATACAAAAATTAGCCGGGTGTGGTAGCGGGTGCCTGTAATCCCAGCTACTCAGGAGGCTGAGGCAGGGGAATCGCTTGAACCCAGGAGGCGGAGGTTGCAGTGACCCAAGATCACACCACTGCACTCCAGCCTGGGCGACAGAGCAAGACTCTGTCTAAAAAAAAAAAAAAAAAAAAAAAAGCGTCACCTGGCCTGAGTAGCAGGCGTGGACTGCGGTGCCTGGGGTGATGCCCATGTCTGCCCTGACCTGGGTACTGGGCTCTTGCCCTCCTCTCCTGGCACCTCCTGTAGTTGGTCCATGCTGTGTATATGGCCCACGCGGTCTCTCCCTCATGTTAGCCTTGGCCTCTCTGGCCGGGGCACTACTGGCACTTCCAAAGCTTCCGCCGTGCCCAGAGACCCCGGACCCCTAGGAGAGTCCTCCTGGAGTGCTTCTGGAAGTCTCTCCAGTGGGGGTCACGGCGTGTTCTCTGGGCAGTGCTGAGGCTGCACAGCTCCATCTGTGCCCGCCACTGGCTTCTTCTCCTCTGAGAGCCGCTGTGTGCTGGGCGCTCTGGCCAGCTGGCAGGAGCCCAGCAGCTGCAGGGCTTCTGACCCAGGTTAGCCCACGGGCTGCACACACAGGTGTCCAGGAAGCCTGTGGCCTCCTGCCTGTCTGCTCTGTTCTGTTTGCCTCGATCGCTGCCTGGATTCCCCTGAGGCCCAGCTTGGCGACGTGGGCCTGGAGGGTGGGATGAGAGGCTGGGCAGCCCAAAGCCATCTCCACATCTGTGCTTTCCTGCTGCGTTTCTGCCGAGGGTGGTGATGGGCCTGGGTGCAGCCCCCTGGGTCTCCAGCCCTGGCAGGGTATCAGGGGGAGGATGCCTGGAGCACCACCGGCTCTCAGCTCGTGGTACATTCTGGGGGTCCTACTGCACCTTTGGGCTTCCAGCCAGCACTTTCCCTATGGCCTGTGCCACGGGGCTGGGGATAGAAGCAGGTGGGCCCAGGTGTCCTGTGGTAGGAGGCTTCCTCTCAAAAGTGGACCTGCCGTTGGATCCCTCCCTGTTCTCTTCAGCCATGCTTATTCAGGGGGCTTTGTAAGCAGCTGGGGGGACAAGGGTCCTGCGAGGTGTCTGTGGCCTTGGGTGGCTGCTCTGCTCCCCTTGGCCAGTCCCCAGGCTGTGGAAGTCCAGGCAGTGCAGATGCATGGAGAGTCCTCAGGACCAGACTGCCCTCGACCCCTTCCTGCTCTCCTATTCCCCTCTCCCGCCTTTGAGTGGGGCCTCAGCTAAGTCTGGAAGGGAGGGTCTGACGGGGTCTGGGCTGCTCTGGGATGGTGGGTGGCACTTCACAGGGGAGGGCACTGGCACAGCGGGGCCTCCTGCCCTGGGATGTGGTGGAGCTGCCCTTCTGGGTCCTTGCATGGGGAGCCTGTGGGTGTGGGGGGCCCAGGCTGACCCCAGCTGCATTGGTTTCCCAGGGCTGCTGGAATAAACACTGCAAACAGGGTGGCTGCAAACAATAGAAGTTTCTTTTTTGACTATCTGGAGGCCAGGATTCTGAACCCAGGGTGTCCACGGGGTCACGCTCCCTGTGAACCTGTAGAGAGGACCTTCCTGGCCTCTTCCTTCTGGCCGTCCTTAGTCTGTGGCCTCGTCACCACAGTCTCTGCCTGGTCTTCACATGGCCCTCTCTGAGTGTCTCTTGTCGGGACACGGGCATTGGATTTAGGGCCCACCCTCATCTGGAACAATCTCATCTGGAGCCTGAACTTAGGACAGCTGCAAAGACCGTGTTTCCAGACAAGGCCTCACTGGGAGCCTCCAGATGGCCATGAACTGTGGGGACACTCTTCAAGCCAGCACCTCCTCTCCTTCCCTCCCATTGTTCAGACTTCCCCCCACAGCCTGGGCATGGCCATCTCAAAAGCTGTCAGTTTCTTTTTTGGGGACTTGTGGGTCCTGGTGAAGTGGTTGACACTGCCCAGGAAGCACTTTGTGGATTTGGACTTAAGAAAACCGCGTGTGCTACAGGTTCAGTCTTGAAAGGCGCTAGGGGCCCAGCCTGTCCCTGGAGCCCTCTGCTGCTCCCCACCTTCCGGCCGGCCCTCGAGGCGGTGGCTCTTCCTTCCTGAGCAGGTGTCCAAGGTGGGAGCGCAGACCCTGCCTCCTCTGCTCCGGCTCCGGCAGGTGTGGATGAGGGCCTCAGGGATGGTGCCCTCGAGGCACAGGGGGGTCCTGGGTCTGGGCCCCCGGCACCTGGGGGGCTGTGTCGGCAAGGCAGGAAGGCGCGGGTGCCCAGCTGCTGACCCTTCCCCATTCCTGCCCAGATGTGGACGAATGCCGAACCCACAACGGTGGCTGCCAGCAGCGCTGCGTGAACACCCTGGGCTCCTACCTCTGTGAGTGCAAGCCCGGCTTCCGGCTCCACACTGACAGCAGGACCTGCCTGGGTGAGTGTCGCCTGGAGACCCTGCCTGGGCTCCTGGCTTCGGCCATCCCTGCCTTCTGGGGTGTGCCCGGGCCTGGCCTGAGAGGGTGGCTGTGGACATGGAGAAGCAGAGGCTGCTCTGGCGGTGGCTCCTTCCTGTGGAGCGTGGCTCTATGGAATCCTGGCCGCACCTTGCCCCAGGCTCAGGCCAGGAAAGGGACCGAGCGCCAAGTTGCCGGGTCCCCATAACCCCAGCTGCAAACCCTCTGCAGCCACAGTAAGCCTCGCTGTGATGCTGAGGCCTCTCTTGGTGGACTGGGGAGTGAGCCCGTGGGTGGAGATCCTATTAAAGATTCTCTGCAACAGAAGCTGCCGTGGTTGATCAGCAGGGACCTGGACTGGTTGTGATGTCCCTTAGATTTGATTCGAGGGAGGCCTGGGTTGCTCACTAGGTGGCGGGGGAGGCTGGCCGAGGAGGCCTGGTCCAGGGCAGGGGCTGCATGAGGCCACCCTTCACCTGCAGAGCCGGGCTTTGTGGGCCCAGGTGATCCCTGCCCATCCTTGGGGAGCCTGGAGGGTGTGGGCTGTGGCAGGTGGGGTAGGGGTGACCGAGAAGTGGGACCCTGGCCCTCAGCTTCCTCTGCGGGGTCTCTTGGATGTGGGAATGGGCTGGAGGAGGTGTCAGGGACAGGAACTGTGGCCGCAGGGAGGGAAGGTAAGAGGGAAGGAGGGGAGGTGCCAGGCCCCGAGGAACCGGCACAGGGCTGAGCAGGGGACTGGAGCCCAGGAATCTGGGGTGAAGAGTAAGTACACAGTCAGCCACCCTCACCCTTTGGTGCCCCCGCTCCTGGCTGGCTCTGGACACAGGCGCCCCAAGCAAGGACAGGACTGACCCTTTCGCTGGCCTCTGTCTGGAAGGCATGGGGGGTCGTTCTCTGGGTGACTGGGGTCAGGACGCCCCTTCTTTCTGCCTTGGAGGCCCGGAGCAGGGCCCAGGCCGGCTCCGAGGAGCCTCCCTCCTGGTCCTGCCTGCGATGTGGCAGGGCGGCCTGCCAGCCCCGGGGGCCCCCCCGCACACACTCACATGTCCCGGCCGCCGTGGGGATCCAGGCAGCGGCTCTGCAAAGTTTCCCTGGGTCTGAAAGTAGAAACAGATGCAGGAATGTTGTGATGTACTTCAGGACAACGGAGATGGGGTGCGGCCCCCGCCCGCCGCCCTGCGGGGACTTCTGGGAGCCTGGGGCACTTTAGCCTTGCACCCCCCAGTCCCCTCAGGCCCCCTGGAAGAGGCAGCTCTTGGGGCACATGTCCTTTTCTGGACCCTCCTCTCAGGCAGGGTCTTCCTTGTAGAAGGGCAGTCCAGGTGTCAGCCGGTGGGCCTTCCTGCCCTCCTCTCGGCCTCTAGTCCCCCCCGGCTCTTCCCCCTCCTCCATCCCCCCCCCCCCCCCTCCCCCCCCCCCCCCCCCCCCCCCACCCCCCCCCTCCCCCCCCCCCATCCCCTCTCCCGCCTCACTCCCCTCCCGGCCTCTATCCCCTCTCCTGGCCTCTAATTGCCCCTCCCCCCTCTCCTGGCCTCTAGTCCCCTCTCCTGGCCTCTAGTCCCCCCCCCCCCCCCCCCCTCCCCTCTCCTGGCCTCTATCCCCTCTCCTGGCTCAATCCCCTCCCCCCTCCCCCGGCCTCTACTCCCCTCCTCCCCCTCTCCTGCCTCTAATCCCCCCCTCTCCCCTCCTGCCTCTAATCCCCTCTCCTGGCCTCTAGTCCCCTCTCCCGGCCTCTAATCCCCTCTCCTGGCCTCTAATCCCCTCTCCTGGCCTCTACTCCCCTCTCCTGGCCTCTAGTCCCCTCTCCTGGCCTCTAATCGCCTCTCCTGGCCTCTAGTCCCCTCTCCTGGCCTCTAATCCCCTCTCCTGGCCTCTAGTCCCCTCTCCTGGCCTCCAGTCCCCTCTCCTGGCCTCCTACTGTGAGTGGGGGCCTTGGAACACTCACTCTCCTAGGCTTTGTTTTCACCATCTATGTGATGGTGACCTTCCCTGAAACCCTCAAAAGGGACAGGGACCACCCCACCCACCACATCCCACTGCCCACCCGCCCGTCGCTCACTCGGCTGGAGCCTCCTCCTGTAGCCGGGCCTTCTGGGATTTGCCTCCTAGGAGGCTGTCCTGGGGATGTCTGCACACTTGGGGCCCCAGAAGTCTTAATTTGCGGTACTCGCCCATTTTAAAGGTTTTCTCCGGCAGATGCCAGGGCCCCTGGGCAGGGCCTGCACGGCCTGGCAGGAGGCTCCTGGGACCTCGGGGCCCGTCTGGCCGTCACCTCCCAGGGTGCCCCCTGTGTGAGTGGTGGGCTCCCGGTGCCTCCACAGCCTTCTCCAGGGCTGGTGCCGGGCTCCTGGCCTCCTCGCTCCATGGAGGGCCCAGGTGAGACTCGCCTGCATGCCAGCCTGTCACCTAAGTGCGTTCACCTACTTGGGTCTGCTGGACGCAGAGTGGTCACCTTGGAGTGCACCTGCTCTTTCATTTGACTGTGACTCCCAGCAAGGCCTTTACACCGAAGCTTCAGGAAATACAGCCCCGGAGCTGTGATGCATCTGTTTCGCTACGGAAGATGCTGGATGTTTCACCCCCTGGGAACAGGTGGTGACCCTCGCTTTGACAGCAAGAGTGACTTGGGTCCCACTAGCCTTTGGCTGAGTTGAGTTGGAGAAATGCCTTCCTCTCCCTAAAGTCCCTGGTGGTGGCCTGGGCACCCCTGGCCTGGGGACACGTGAAGACTAGCCCCATTCCTAGGCCACCCTGCCTGGGCACCATCCAGACCCCCTTCCTGGCACTATCTGGGGCATGTTGTCCCCCCTCGTCCCTTGCCCATGGTGGCTTCTGTGTGAGAGGGTTGCCACAAAGGCTTTGCCTCTGTGGGTGGGGGATACCAGATGGCGAGTTCCTGGGAGCTGACACCTGCAGGGGCGGGGCCGGTTCCTCGGTCTCCCAGGAGTTTCCAGGATTGGCATGGGTTTGTCAGCCTGGGCCCACCGGGAGCTGCTCTCTGTGGGGGCCTGAGAAGCTTCTAGAGTGGGGCTGGAGTCCTCTGGGGGCCACTTCCCAGGCAAAGCCAGGCATGTTTGTTTGAGGGCTGCCTCACCGTCTCAAGCCCCTTCTTGTTGCTGAGGACCCGGCCAGGGTGTGGGCCTGAGACGCCGGCCTGGGATGGGGAGGGTGTTGCGGCATCTCAGCTCCTGGCCAAGGGCTGCCCTGAGGGGGGTCTCCTGCGGCAGCTCAGCCTGGGCCTGTCAGAGGACACTGCCCACCCAGTCTGTGCCAGGCTGCCTGGACTCTGTGAGGGCTTGATGGGGGTAGGGCTGGATTTCTGGCCCCTGGGGAGTTTGGAACCCTTCACCCTCCACTGCCTCGCCTTCCTGCCTCGGTATGGGGGCATCTTCAGATTCACACTGGCACCCTCTGCCCAGGCCTCCGTCGGCAGGAGTGGCCTCTCCCATCAGCTGTGGGCGGGCTGCTCGACTGGAACCTGGAGCTGCTGCGGAGCCCCTCCCCTGGGCCTGCCAGGGTCATCCTGGCTGGGAGGGTGCTGTGACCCCTCCTGGGGCTTTGCTGGGGGACAAGGAACATGCCCCACAGGCTTGAGGCCCTGCAGTTGGACTCCCCACTAGCAGCTTGGAGTGAGGCTTGCAGAGAGGCTGGTGGAGAAGCTGCCCAAAGATCCGCCCTTCCTTCCCCAGCCTGGGGCCAGAGCTCTCAGGGTGCTGACACCTTCAGGGCCCGGAGCAATCTGGGAAGGCTCCAGAGGAGGCTGTATCTGAAGGGGGCCTTAAAACACTCCAGAGGGGCCTTGAAACACACTTGAACTTGCCTCTGAGGCAGAGAGAGGGCAGGAAAGGTACAACCTCCACACCTCCCTGCCTTCTAGATGATCTTATGGAAATCAGACACCAAAAGGGTTCCCCTCTCAAAAGTGAGAATCTACAGGAAGGACTTTGCCATTGGCTCCCACGTTGCGAGAGTGTGGGTCCCCGTTCCCCAGCCCTGGCCGCCCAGTCCTGGTGTGCCCCATTGCCCTGGCCGCCCAGTCCTGGTGTGCCCCATTGCCCTGGCCGCCCAGTCCTCATGTGCCGTATTGCCCAGGGCGTCCAGTCTCTGGGGTGGGAAGAGCAGGGCCTAGTGAGGCCCAAGGGCGGGGCCACACCTGCTTCTTATTCTCAGTCCCTGAGCCTGAGCCCGCCCTTGCCTCCCCGGTGGTGTGGGGAGCAGTGGTCTGGCCCGAGTGTCTGGTTTTCCATTCTTGGTTTTCCATGACACCCTGCAGAGTGCCAGCGTGCAACACCCAGAGAGGGAGCAGCTCCCATGTGGTCTAACACTGCACTGGAGGCCTCCGCCTCCATGTACCTGGGGTGCTCTGAGCCGGCACGATGCCCGCCCGTGCTCCTGGAGGCGGCCTGGCTGCCCGCTGGACCGTAGCCTTGGACATGGCTGTTCCCTTATGTCCCCTGGGTCGAGCAGCACTCCCAGGGCCTGTCTAAGGGTCACAGATGTCACTGGCTCAACCAGCAGAGGTCCCTCCAGATGAAACGCCCTGTGCAACCCCAGGGAAGAGGTGGGCCCTCTGTCCTCCCCATCTCAGCCCATGCCCATCAGGCCTTTGGGCTGAACACTGTGGGGGAGGGGACTCTGTTGTCACCCCCTGGTGGCCTGGCCACCCCCTGCCTGTGTCCCCCAGAGTTAGATGGACTCATGTGCACACGGCTGGGGAAGGACTCCCGGCCCTGCCTCCCCACCTGGCTCTGCCATGGGTGTGCTGTGTGCCCTGGGGCAGACTTCCCTCCCCGGGCCTGGGTCTCCCCATCACGGCAGTGAGAGGCTGCATAGACCCCCCACCTGGCCCCTTGGTTCCTTCTTGGAGGGGAGGCCCGGCCCAGAGGAGGCTGCTGGCAGGCAGCTCAAGTGTGTGAGCTCCGGGCTGCTCCTCAGAGCACACGTGTGCAGACCCAGGACCTGAAAAACCCAACGCGGACTGCAGTTGCAAACTGGGAGTCTGCCTCTCCAGCCTTATGGCTTCGAGAGGCTGGCCTGGGCCCAGCCAGTAGGAGACAGGGGAGGAGCAGCTGATGGGCAGCCCCCTCAGTCCAGGAGACCACCCTGGGCTTCCGCACATGGGAAGGGGGCCTCTTGTGGCCTTGCCTGAGTCTAGAGGTGCTGGCTGAGGCAGAGTGGGGTGCTTGGGTACAGGGGTGGGGGTGTGGGATGGTTGCACCCCAACCCAGAGAGGCCATCTGGGTTCAGAAACCCAGCAGGAAGGTGGGGCGCTCGGGCTGGGGGCTGCCTTGCTGCAGTGGGAAGGGGAGCCGCTGCCCTGCCAGGGTAAGAGTCGGGAGCAAAAGGAGGTGAAACCAGCAGAAGGGGCTGAGTCAGGGCTCGTGTGGGGGCAGGGAGGAGTGATAGGAGAGGCCTGGGCCATGCCTTCAGCTGTGGTGAAGGGCCAGGGCTGGCCGCCTTGCTCCCCTCTGACCGCCGCCCGGTGTGCTGGTGCCAGGTACTGCTTAGGGAGTCGGTTGCTGTCCTGACGATACAGACCAGGCCTGCCCTCCCAGGGCTCTGGTGACAAGGAAGCCACCTTCCTAAATGCTCTGAAGAAGCTGAACCAGTGTGATGCTCACGCAGCCGTGGGTCGGGGCCTCCCTCACGAGGGCAGGTCAGAGCTGACACTCAGCAGTGAGTAGGCACATGTGGTGGTGCAGGCGCTGTGGGCATTGGGTGCCCACGGTGCGCCCTGCAGCTCCCACCCTGGAGTGCCCCTGTTGGCGCCTGCCGTCTGGCCGCCTTCATTCCACGTGTGTGGTCCAGCTGCCGCCCGCCACTCCCTAAATCACCCGGTGTCCCTGGTAGGCCAATAGGATGCTGCTAGCACTTGTCTCTAGGGACCCACCTGTCACCTTGGCCAGTGGGTCTGGACCACTGCAGCCAAGCATGGGCCCAGCTGACCACCCAGAAAGGTGGGCGCTGGGCAGGACGATCTGGCTGGCCCTGGGCGGGGGTGGGGGCCTTGCTGCAGTGTGAGCTGTGGGGTCAGCTTAGCCTGGCCCATGGAGGGGGATGGTGGGTGTTTCCTTCCCTGCTCTGTCTCTGGATGCCTGGTGGCCATGCTGAAGGGTCAGTGTCTGCCTGGTACTCTGTGTTGTTGGGGTGACATCATGGGCTCAGACCCCTTGGCGTGTGGATGAGGACAGCCACTCTCACAGGCTGTGAGTCAGTAGTGCCCTGTGCCACAAGGAGACCCCATTGAGAGGGCAGGGGATGGGGCAGGTGTACAGGGCAGGAGGGCAGGGCCGCCTGGAGGGGAGCTGGGGGATGAACACGCACCCCAGCCTGCCATCCTGGCCGTGTCCCCAGCAGAGGGCTTCCTAGAAGGCAGGGCTGCGGGTGACCACTGACCACATGTGGCAGGAGACTCAAGGCCTAGAAACCACCCCAATCTGAGGGCAGTAATTATAAGCCCCGTGAAACCAGCAGGGACCAGAACCACCCTGGAGAGCTGGCCTCGAAACCACTGGGCTGGGTTTGGAGGCTTGGGCAGAAGAGCTGGTGGGCCCACATCCAGCCCCTGCCTCAGCTCTCAGTCAGCCAACGAGCTCAGAGGCTGGGCCTGGCCACTGATGCCCCACCCTCTGTTCCATCCGCCGCCCAGGACACTGCGCCTCCAGCAGAGACCAAGCTGGATCAGGCGGAAGGAGGCCCCTTTACCTTTGCAGAGCTCCAGCCTCACACGTGCCAGAATCCTGGGTGGTGCCACCTCCTGCTGGCAGAGGTTGGCATTGCACCCTAGCCCGAGTGGACCTGCATGTGCCTGGGCTGGAGTGATGTCTCCTAGAATTGGTAAACTGGGGAGTTAGGGTGACCCAGGCAGCTCTGGCTGCCATAATGGAGAGAGTGCTCTGGGTCTCTTCCTTCAAGGACACTAATCGTATCTGGTCAGGGCCCCACCCTATTCCCTCTCAGAGACTCTATCTCCAAATACATTCACCTTGTGGATTAAGGCTCCAACATAGGATTATTTTAGGGAGGATGCATTCCATTCATTACAGAGTATCCCCCAGCAACAGTCAGTTGCATCTAATCTGGAAGTGGGCGAGGACTGAAGTTAGGTCTTGGCAGAACAAGACTCCAGAGTCAGGAAGGGACGGAAACGTTGGGCAGGATCGCCAAAGCACCCGGTGCGATGACGCACACTGACCATCAAACTCTCACTGGGTGGGGATTTTTTCCTTTGAGAAAACACCACTTCAGTATTAAAGAAGCGAAAGACACAGTAGGGCTTGCCGTCAAGCCCGCGTCTGTCCACAGGCGAGCCAGGTGAGGGCTGTGGAGCACAGACAGGGAGGGTCTTCCCCCCCGGGAGGCAAATCCCCAGTCCGTGTCTGATGGACACACTCAGCTTTGCCGGGTCTGAGCTTGGTCCGCTTTGCAGGGCTGTAGCAGGTGCCAGTCTTTAGCTGTGGCCTGGGCAGGGGTGGCTGGGCTGTGTGTTTTGCAGCCGGGTCTCAGTGTCCCAAGGGTTCTGGACACATCCCCAGCAGTGCTGGGCACGGGCCATGCAGGGGTGGCCGTTCCTGAGCTGCATGTCCCAGTGCTGGTGAAAATCTGCCTGGTTCGGCTTTCCGGGAATCTGTGGCACGGGATATATGCGATGACACTGGGCTTGGCTCCCGGCTGTGCACAGCTTGGGAGCATCTGGGGTGTTAGAACTGTGTGGAGAGCAGCAAGAGGATGGGCTCTGGGGGGATCCCTGCCTCTGACCCCCCGCCCTGGTGGGCTTCAGTGGGCGCCATGCCTGGTGGTCCCTGGGTACATCTCGGGTCTCTGCCTGTCTGGAGGGGCTGACGAGAAGCCTCTTTCCCAGCCCTGCCACAGCCTCCTGGGTCCTTGTGGTGCCTGGGTCCTGATGGCCCAGCTTCCCTGCCATGGGCTCTGTGCCCCCTGTGCCTGCCTGGCCTGCCAGGAGGGGTCTGTTTCCTATTACGTGTTCCAGACAGGGGTGTTGTTGCTGTGGTGAACACAATAAACAGGCCCCCCGGGAAGGCGGGGCCGGCCCAGGCCTTGTTCAAAGTCCCCTGGAGCCACGGTAGTAGCTTCAGCAGAGCTGTCTCAGGTGAGGCAGGCTGGGCCTGGGGGCCAGGACAGCTCCCATCTTGTCTGGGCAGTTGAGTGGATGGGGCTCGGGGCTCGGAGGCAGACAGGCTTACCTGCGTTCTGCCCTGGGCTCCCCACAGCCTGCACGTGTCAGGGCCACGTAGGGCGGGAGACAGAGCCATCACTGCAACCCCCAACAGCCTCCCAAGGCTGGCTCTGCCCTAGGAGGGGACCCTCAGCGCCTGCTCCCCTGTGGGAGACAGGTACGGCGAGCAAGGTGGGGTTTTTAAGCCAACTTGCTCTGAGGGGCCTTCTCAGGGCCCAGAGGCAACTCCACTGCTCCAGCCGCTGCCTGCTCCGTTGACCTCTGACTGCCCTCCCCTCCGTGGTGCCGGGCTTCCCATCCACCATGCAGCAACAGTAGATGGGTTCCCCAGTCTTGGCCCCGGGCCCAGCCGACTCCCAGGGATGTTGGCAGCCCCCCAGGAGGTGCCCCAGAGGAGGCGGCATCTCAAAAAAGCCTCCCCGCTCCGAGAGTCTTGGCGCTTTGGTAATGGGGTTCGGGATTGCTTTGGGCACAGGCCTGGGCAGACGGCGTCCCCTGCCCGGGCACAGGCAACAGCACATTCTTGCGGCTTCCCTCTGAGCTTGGGGCTGACTCCCTCCCTAACCACAAGGCGACTGCCAGAGACATGACAGTAACCAAACCCCCGCCAAGGGGCTGGCTGCAGCTTCTGGCAGAGGTCTAGTGCCCACCCTGGGTGCCCAGCCTGGCCCAGCACCTTCTCCCCCCGTCCCTGGGCCAGCTCAGGGCACAGCCCCATCCATCCACTGGGTACAGGCACCCGCTGAGTCAACCTGACCCCACAGCCCATGCCCTGCAGGAATGCGCATGGAGGAATGAGAGCGTGGGCACTGCATGGGGTCAGCCGTGAGGTGTGGCCTGGCCTGGGGTGGGTAGGAGCTGTACTGGTCCCTTGGGAACTGGGGGCCAAGCCTACGGCCCATGGCAACTGTCCATGGCATCCCCACACCTGCCTCCACCCTGGCCTAAGGACCACGGTGGTGAGATGCCTGGGTCTCAGTCACCGCCTGCCAGCCTGCAGCCTCCTCCAGGGAGATGCGGCTTGCTGGGGCACTGAGCCCTTACTTGCAGCTTCTCAGAGACCCCTGGCGCTTAGTGTTCTGTGCTGGGGGGTGCTGGGCTTCTGTCTGGGTGGGGCCCCCTTCTGTGTCCAGCCCTCGAGCAGGCCGGGGCTGGAGGGTCCAGTGAATCCCTCGCGGGCCTGAGGATTCTGTCTGCGGCAGAGAAGGCAAAACCAGGCTTGTGGGCTGGGCAGGAGGCAGCGTCTGACGGTGGAGATGAAAAGGCGGAGGGGCTCGGAGTGCCTGGGAGGGGTCCTACAGCAGGAGGAAGTGGCCATGCCACTCCTTACTCCATGCCAGCCGGGGACAGACTGTTGGCCAGGCGTCCTCTTGGGCTGACCTGGGGTCCTCTCCGTGTCCCCAGCCATTAACTCCTGTGCCCTGGGCAATGGCGGCTGCCAGCACCACTGTGTCCAGCTCACGATCACTCGGCATCGCTGCCAGTGCCGGCCCGGGTTCCAGCTCCAGGAGGACGGCAGGCGCTGTGTCCGTGAGTGCAGCCAGCCTGGGAGGGATGGAGGACCTGGGGGTGGAGGCAGGATGAGCTGCCTTGCCTGGGCTGCTAGAGGAAGTGGGTCTTCAGGAGGCCCCCAAGCTGCTGAAAGTCCTGGTAGGCCATGGCCCAGCCCATTAGGCTGTGCCCCAGGGTGGCACATCTGGGGCCAGGAAGCTCAGGATGGGAGCCGCCTCACTACTGTAGGTGCCCACCTGATGGGGGCTGCCTCACTTCCATAGGTGCCCACCTGAGGCTTGCTGCCCCTGGGAGGAGGGGGCGGGCCAGGCCTGGTTTGGCACTTTGCTCTGAGTCCTCAGGACTTCATGGAAGGAGGGGGCTTTGCTGATGGTGACGGTGGGGCAGGCTCAGCGGTCCTCCAGAATATGGAAATGGGGGCTGTGGGTGGGCAGGTGCTGAGAGAATGCCCCCACCTGGCCTCTAGGGTCCTCCCCAGTATGGGCATGAAGGGGCTGGAGTCACAGAGCTGGGGGGCCACCGCCCTGGTGTCAGCGCCAGCATCTGGACAGAGAAGGGTGGTGGGAGGAGCTGGCCTGGGCTGCGGTTGACCTGGGCTGGCTGGCCTTGTCCTGAGACTGCAGAGTCTTCTTGGCATCTTGGGGGCTTCCCGCACCGGGGAGGAGGGAGACCCACTGCCCAGCCCATCAGCCTGGAGCACAGAGTGGGGAGAGCACTGGGTGAGGGGGGTCTCACAAGAAGCCTTGGGGCAGGTGCCCTGCAGCCACTGGGATCCCCTCTCCCCAACCCCCTCCTTGGGTCCGTGGCTGCAGGGAGAAGCCCGTGTGCTGACAGGAATGGCGGCTGCATGCACAGGTGCCAGGTGGTCAGGGGCCTCGCCCACTGTGAGTGCCACGCAGGCTATCAGCTGGCAGCGGACCGCAAGGCCTGTGAAGGTAGGACGCCCCTCCCCTGCTCTGCCCCACCCAGGGTCAGAAAGCACACCCAGGCACTATGAAGGGACCTGTGTCTAACTCTGGGGCTGTGGCCTCCCATGGGACCAGGCCCTTTGGGAGCAGGGCTGGCCCTGCCTTGCTCCCCTTGGGTGACCTGGGACGTGACGGTCTCATCTCCCCTGCTGGGGGCTGAGGGGCGACGGTAGGAAGGCTCGCCAAGGGTGCTCCCAGCCCGAGGCTCCTTTCACCAGAAGTGCACCACGGAGCCCAAGTGTTGCTTATAGTTTTTAAACTATTGTATTTCCTAAGTAGTGCCTGCCTGGCAGGAACACCAAAGAGATGAATAAGAGAAAAGGAATGAGCCAGGCATGGTGGCTCACACCTGTAATCCCAACACTTTGGGAGGCCGAGGAGGGAGCATCATTTAAGCCCAGTTGCTCAAGACCAGCCTGGGCAACGTGGCGAGACCCTGTCTCTAAACAATAATAAAAAAAAATTAGCCAGGTGTGGTGGTGCTGTCTGGAGTCCTAGCTACTCAGGAATCTGAGGCAGGAGGATCACTTGAGCCCAGGCAGTCAAGGCTGCAGTGAGCTATGATCGTGCCACTGTACTCTAGCCTGGGTGGCAGAGCAAGATTCTCTCTCTCTTTAAAAAAAAAAAAAAAAAAGTCCAGGCATGGTGGCTCACACCTGTAATCCTAGGACTTTGGGAGGCCGAGGTGGGCAGATCACTTGAGTTTAGGAGTTCAAGACCAGCCTGGACAACATAGTGAGATCCCCGTATCTACAAAAAAAAATAATAAAACCCAACTAGCCGAGCATGGTGGTGCACACCTGTGGCCCCAGCTACTTGGGAGGCTGAGGCAGGAGTCCCAGCTACTCGGGAGGCTGAGGCAGGAGTCCCAGCTACTCGGGAGGCTGAGGCAGGAGTCGCGGCTACTCGGGAGGCTGAGGCAGGAGAATCACTTGAGCCCAGGAGGTTGAGGCTACAGTGAGCCATGATTGCACCACTGCGCTACAGCCTGGGTGACAGAACGAGACCCTGTCTAAAAATAAATAAATAAAATAATAATAGTAAAATAGAACTAAAGAAGAAAGGAGACGTTGTTACTGAGCCCAGGAAACACCTGGACGTGTTGGGTGGGCTTCTGCCTCTTTGCTGAGGCTGTTTGTGAATGTGCTTGTTTAGAGTCGGGTCGCAGGCAGGTGCCATTGTTTGGAACCCACTGCCACACCACACCACCCTCTGCAGCATGGCTGGGGAACGTTTATTTGTTAACCCCTCCCTGCACGTCTGGGTGTTCCTGACTCTTCCCTGGGTCAAGCGGCCTTGGGGAGCGATTTGGTTGCCGCCACGCTGGGGGTCCACAGGGTGAGTCTCTGAGGCAGCAGGGTGTGTCCAGACCAGGCAGTGGTCAGTTTCCAAGGGTATTAGTCCATTTTCTTGCTGCCAATAAAGACATACCCAAGACTGGGCAATTTACTAAAGAAAGAGGTTTAATGGACTTACAGTTCCACATGACTTGGGGAGGCCTCACAGTCATGGCGGAAGGCCAGGAGGAGCAAGTCACACCTTACGTTGATAGCGGTAGGAAAAGAGAGCGCTTGTGCAGGGAAACCCCCATTTTTAAAACCATCAGATCTCATGAGACTCATTCACTATCACGAGAACAGCACAGGACAGACCCGCCCCCATGATTCAGTCACCTCCCACTGGGTTCCTCCCACCACACGTGGGAATTGTGGGAGCTACAATTCCAGGTGAGATTTGGGTGGGGACACAGCCAGACCATATCACCAGCACCTGCCGGATGGCCACGGGGTGTCGTGGTGTGTGGTTCCATGTCTTCACTGATACCAGGAAAGTGTTGCTTGGGTAATGGCACCTGGTCACTCAGTGGACTTAGCGTGAGACCCAACTTCTTCATCCCAGGGGACCTGCAGGGCTGTGACCAGTGGTCGTCAGGGACAGTGGGATTGGCCTTGAATGCCTGTGTCATGTAGCCACAGGCCCTGCGTGTCAGCGGGCTGTGCGCTATCTTCCACTGGCCCCGTGCAAAGGCCCTTCCTGGCACCTCTGAGTCCTCCCCGTGGTCTCTCCCCTCCAGATGTGGACGAATGTGCCGCAGGGCTGGCCCAGTGTGCCCATGGCTGCCTCAACACCCAGGGGTCCTTCAAGTGTGTGTGTCACGCGGGCTACGAGCTGGGCGCTGATGGCCGGCAGTGCTACCGTGAGTGGGCAGTCGGCAACAGGTTGAAGGTGCCCGGGATGGCCATGCCACTCCCCAGGACCCCACGGCCTGCTTTGGTCGAAGAACAAAGAGCTTCCTTGTCAATCAGGGGCAGCCCTGCGTATGAGCCCTTGGTGGGCACAGGGTCGAGGGAGGGCAGGGAGTCCCAGACCCGACAAGGCCTGGGAGCTCCATGTTGCTGCTTCCCACGGGTGTCCCCGGACCCGAGGCTGGCTGCTGGGTGGAGGTGGGGGGAACCAAGGTAGGTGGTGGTCATCCTAGCCGCCATCCCACATCCCGCGTGGCTGGTCTCATGGCAGGGATCGAGATGGAAATTGTGAACAGCTGTGAGGCCAACAACGGTGGCTGCTCCCATGGCTGCAGCCACACTAGTACTGGGCCACTGTGCACCTGTCCCCGTGGCTATGAGCTGGACACAGATCAGAGGACCTGCATCGGTGCGCACTGGCTCCTCCCAGATGCCCACACCCCCCTCCAGGGACCTGCTGCTGCCCTGGGTCTGGGATCAGTTCCATGCCATGACTTGGAGGTCCTCTTCTGTCTCCCTGAGTCCTGGTCTGGCTACCTGGGCCCAGGCGGGGTGGTAGGGCAGACCTGACAGAGGCAGCACCCTGGCCAGGAAAGACCCTAGGTGCCCACATCAGCCTGCAGGGCCCATACCCACGGTCATGGCACCCCCTTACCCCGTCAGCACCTCCTCAGTACCGCCCCATCACCTGGGAAGGACCCAGTGTCCTGGGAGTCACACCCCAGACCCTGACTCTCAGATGGAGTCCCCACCCTCTAGCCCCAGTCCCAACACCTTGTTCCCAGCAGACAGGCGGGTGGCCCCGGGGCTGTGACATGTGTCCTGTGTGTGTCTGTGTATGCGGGACCAGGAACATGCATGTGCGTGGGTGCGATTTTGTGGTGGGTGCGATTGTCTGCAGGTGCCATTATTTAGGTGTGCACGCGTGAGACTGTGGGCAGGTGCACATGCAGTAGGGCACATGGGTTGTGTGTGGTTGTATGCAGTTGCATGCAGTTGTGTGTGGGTGGGAGCGTGTGCACGTGCAGGTGCCTGGTACCAGGGGGCCCGTGGTGTGTGCCCACAGATGTTGACGACTGTGCAGACAGCCCGTGCTGCCAGCAGGTGTGCACCAACAACCCTGGCGGGTACGAGTGCGGCTGCTACGCCGGCTACCGGCTCAGTGCCGATGGCTGCAGCTGTGAGGGTGAGCACTTCCCTGCCACTGCACAGCTGGGGTGGCCTGGGAGCAGGGCCGCCCTAAGGAAGGACACGGGGCTGGCTCTGGTCCCCCCGTGGTGGGCATGGGGTCAGCCTGCTCTGTGCCCTGCTGCGGGGCTGTGGGTTCTGGTTGAGCACCTGCTGCATGCAGGGCTGTGGGTGTTGGCTGAGTGCCCGCTGCATGCAGGACTGTGGATATTGGTTGGGTGCCTGCTGAATGCAGGGCTCTGGGTATTGGTGGAGTGCCTGCTGTGTGCATGGCTGTGCTGACCTGCCCGGCTACATGCAGGGCTGTGCTGACCTGCCCCCTCCCTCCCTCTGGCCTGAGGTCACTGGCTGCTCTCTCCTGGAGCTGGGCCTGTCCCCCTGGCTGCTGCCTGGCTGGCCCCGCCCAGCCTGGCCCCTCTAGCAGGTGTCTGCCATGGCTCTGACCCTGGGGTGGGAGGGTGGCCAGAGTGGCCGCTGTGGCTGGGGGTGAGTTTTACTGGCTGGTTCAAGAGATGAGCCACTCACCTCTGGCAGGGCCACCAGGGCTTCAGTCCTGCAAATAGGACTGGGTGGGCAGGAGCCTCCCTGGTTCCCCACCTGGGAGCACAGGCCTCAGCGGCCCCGGGTCACCCGCAGATGTGGACGAGTGCGCCTCCAGCCGTGGTGGCTGCGAGCACCACTGCACCAACCTGGCCGGCTCCTTCCAGTGCTCCTGCGAGGCCGGCTACCGGCTGCACGAGGACCGTAGGGGCTGCAACCGTGAGTCTCCCGCCCTCCGAGGAGCACCGGCCTCTGCCTTCTCGAGTTTGCCCCAGCTGACCCTGCATCCCGCAGGCCTAGCCCGCCCCACCCCCACCTGCCTGGGGTCCTTTGTCCCCTGGCCTCTCTGGGCCAACACCACCTCAGAGGCTCTTGGGCCCCTGGGGACCCACTGGGGTCCTGCCTCTTCTGAGGGCCATGTGGGGATTGAGGACAGTGGGGTGGGGGAAGCTGGTGAGACAGGCATCCTCCTGCAGCCCAGCACCTGTCCTGACCAGGTGAGAGAAGGCACCAAGACCTAAGGTGATGTCCCTGGGACTGATGGCAGCTGCTCCCACCTCTACCCCTCTAGGCCCCAGAGTCCTTAGAGCTGGGATGAGCCTGGGGGCAGGGGGGCAGAGGGGCAGGATTCAGGTCCTCAGGGCCCGGAGCCTTCTGTCCTGAGAAGGAGGGTCGGGTGCAGCTGGGATGACCCCGGGACGAGGCTGAGGAGGTGGGGGTAGTGGAGGCAGTAGGACGGTGGCAGGGGCCCTGGGGTGGGGCTCAGGCCCAGCCCTACCCGCCGGGGAGTCGCTGGGGCAGGCAGGTGGGTGGCAGGGGCTAAGGGGCCTCTGTGCCCCTGGCAGCCCTGGAGGAGCCGGTGGTGGACCTGGACGGCGAGCTGCCCTTCGTGCGGCCTCTACCCCACATCGCCGTGCTCCAGGACCAGCTGCCGAGACTCTTCCAGGATGACGACATCGGGGCCGACGAGGAAGAGGCAGAGTTGCGGGGCGAACACACGCTCACAGAGAAGTTTGGTGAGCACGAGCCCAGCCCCCCGGGGGCTCCTGCTCGCAGGGCCGGCAGCCAGCGACCCCTCGGGCAAGGCTGCCATCCAATCAGAGGTTGGGGACGTGAGGAAGGACCCCTGCAATGCCATGTGAGACCAAGGCCCAGAGAGGTTGTGCCACTGGCTCAGTTTGCACAGCTCATGCGGGCTGAGCCTGGGCAGGACTGGGCTTGCAGGTCCCAAGTTAGGTCTCCTTTTGGCCCCAGCATCTGCCCTCATGTCACCCTTTTGGGGCCCTCGTGGGCTGAGGATGCCCCTTATGCCCCTTCCCTGGCATGAGGATCTATGCCTGCTGAGGCCAGGGGTCAGGCTCTGAACACCCCCATCCTGGTCTGCCCCCCAGTCTGCCTGGATGACTCCTTTGGCCATGACTGCAGCTTGACCTGTGATGACTGCAGGAATGGAGGGACCTGCCTCCCGGGCCTGGATGGCTGTGACTGTCCCGAGGGCTGGACTGGGCTCATCTGCAATGAGAGTGAGGCGGCTGGGCAGGGGCTTGGGGCCGGGAAGGGGCCTCTGAGCCCCAAGACCTGGGGACAGCCCTTTGAGCCTATTCAGTTTTACTCCTGGCTGCTGGCCTTGGGCGGGGAGACCTGTGCAGATCCATTCATTCATCCATTTGTTCAGTCCTTTGATAATATCCCCTGGCCGTCCACTCTGTGCCAGGCACTGTTCCAGGCAGCAAGGATTCCCTGGGAACAAGCGAGCCAAGGTGTTTGTCCTTCCTAAATATCAGTCTTCACGGTCCAGCAACAAGCAAGCCAGCAAATAACTAAGACAGTGAGGGCTGTCTGCTGAAGGGTTGGGTTCCTCTAGCTCAGATGGCCGGGGGCCCGTAATAACTGTGAGGCTCTGCCTGTTTGAAAGAGCTGGTTCAGAAGGAGGAGACTCCTGTCTCTGCTGGCGTTCGGAGAGAGGAGTCAGTGATCCATTAGTGGTGTCTCCCATGAGCATGGGCAGGGGTGATGTGGCACAAGTGCCATCATTTTATCTCTAGGCAATTCCTTCTAAACCCAGAGCCTCCGACCCTAGGAAGGGGTCTCAGAGTGTCGTGTTGGCTGGTGACCCTGACGCTTCCCTGTCACTCTTTGTAGCTTGTCCTCCGGACACCTTCGGGAAGAACTGCAGCTTCTCCTGCAGCTGTCAGAATGGTGGGACCTGCGACTCTGTCACGGGGACCTGCCGCTGCCCCCCGGGTGTCAGTGGAACTAACTGTGAGGATGGTGCGTGCAGTCTCTTCTGATGCTTCTGGAATTACCCCCTGGGCTGTCAGGGAAGTGGGAGGCACCACCCCTCCTTGTCTCCTTCCTCCCACTGGAGCAGGGAAACTGCCACCAAACTTTTCCTAGACTCCCTTCCCTTCCTGCCTCCCCGTCTCCAGAGGTTTAGGCTGTGCTTGAGAGGGAACGAGGCCCTTGAGTGAAAGGGGTGTTGCTTTTTCACTGTTGCTAATTTTCCCAGGGCCTGACTGTAGCAGAGGATAAGACTTTACAGAGCAACACTTTTAGAATGGGTTCCCTTGGGAGGCAGTGAGGTCCCCGTTCCTGGAAGCATTCAAGTAGAACTGTGTGATGGCTGGGTGAGGTTTGCAGAAGGGATTACTCAGGGGCCAGTAGCTGCAAGGGATGATGTTGACGTCCTTATTAACTGAAGTTTCAGCCTTTCTGGAGGAATTAGTCCAGAAAATGTTTCCCAGGTGGTTAAAGCTTCATCTTTAAGTCTCCAGACTTCATCATTTCTGCTTCTTTCGCTGGAGAGTGTAGCTAACGTATCATAAACTTCCTGCCTTCGTGACAGGAAGATAGCCAGCCCTAGAACCTGTGCCCCATGCCCAGGTGGCCCTGTGAGCTTGCCTGGCTGTGTGTGCTGTGCTCTGCAGGGCTGGTTGCCTGGTGGTTGTGGGGACCCCGGGCAGCTGCACAGGGCTTCCTACCTCTTCCCTGTCGGCGTGCCTCCCTTCCCCACTTTGTCTGCCCTTTCTATTCTACAGGAGGCTGGGGAACCCCCATATTCATTCCCGGGCACTGCACCCCTGGGATTGTGCTGTACCCTCCAGGCTGCCTGCAGCATCGAGGGGTCACCTCCTCTTCTCTAGGCCTCCTCTTTCTGTCTCAGCCTCCGCCTGCCTCTCTGATGAGGATATCTGTCTTTGGGTTCAGGGCCAACCTGGATAACGCAGGGCTACTATGGCAAGCCCTGTCGCAAGAAATGCAACCGTGCCTAGTCTCCAGGTCCTGGGGCATAGTCTCCATGTCGTTATCGGGGCACCTTCAGCTTACTACTGCCTTCAGTACGAGGAAGGACATGGGGCAGGACCCAGCCAGAAGGAATTGTTTGGGGAAGAAAGGCGAGGACCTTTCTAGCTCTGGGGCCACCTGTGGCTTGGGCCTGGGACCCTGGCCACTGGGGCCATGTGTCCTTCCTGCTTTGAGGTTCTGAGGTCAAGCTTAGTGACTGCCATGGGACAGAAGTCAGGCGGCTCCTGAAGGGAGCCGGACTTTGGGGAGAGTGGAGCGTGAGCTTTGTGCATCTCTCCAGTGTGGGCCAAGGAAGGTGCTCCTCCACCCGCCCTTGCCGCAAGCCCTGGGGGCAGGGGATGTAGGGGACGGACCAGCCAGGGCAGACAGCCAATCCTCGAGGCTCACCTAGTGCCCTGGTGGGGGCTGCTCCCAGCTCCTGTGCTGGGCCCTGGGCCCCTGAGCATCCTACCACGTGGGAGGACCACATGTGGTAGGTTGGCTGCCACCAAGGTTCTCACGGAGCCCCGCTGCCCCCAGGCTGCCCCAAGGGCTACTATGGCAAGCACTGTCGCAAGAAATGCAACTGTGCCAACCGGGGCCGGTGCCACCGCCTCTACGGGGCCTGCCTCTGTGACCCGGGGCTCTACGGCCGCTTCTGCCACCTCAGTGAGTCTCACCGCCCCTTCCAGTGTCCCCAGCGGCCGCAGCGGGTGGAAGGGATGGTGTGTGTCCTATTACCTGTAGTCTGGGTTGGGATGAGACCATCAGGGCCCAGCCAGGTCACCCACTGGGATGTGGGTCTGGGATCTGCCCTGAGTCTGTGGACTCCGAGCCACATCCTCTCGACGGCAACTGTGCTGGCATCCAGGGCGTCTGGGTGGACGGTCCCCAGCCTCGTGGTGCCTCCCAGCCCTGATGGGTGGGAGGGTTGCCGATGAGGGCAGGGCCAGGCCTTTTGCAGAAGCCTCCAGGGGATGAAGCCTATCTTGACTTTTGGAGATTCCTGGCAGCAAGGCCAAGCTCTGAGTCCCTGGTGGGGTCACCCATCCCTGGGATTCAGACACTCGGGGAGGAAGGGGCGGTGGGCTGCAGGGGGAGAGGTGGATGAGGACAGCTCCCTGCATGATCTTGGCTGTCGTCCTGGCTGACCCAGGGCCGGTGGAAGTGGTCTGGGAGGGCGGGGCTTCAGACGGGGCCCCTCTCATGGCTCCGTGGGTGCAGCCTGCCCGCCGTGGGCCTTCGGGCCGGGCTGCTCGGAGGAGTGCCGGTGTGTGCAGCCCCACACGAGGTCCTGTGACAAGAGGGATGGCAGCTGCTCCTGCAAGGCCGGCTTCCGGGGCGAGCGCTGTCAGGCAGGTGAGTCCTCGCATGGGGTTTGGGGGGCGCCAGGGCCGGCTGACCCCACCCACCCCTCTCTCACACCCTGCAGAGTGTGAGCCGGGCTACTTTGGGCTGGGGTGCCGGCAGGCGTGCACCTGCCCAGTGGGTGTGGCCTGTGACCCCGTGAGCGGCGAGTGTGGGAAGCAGTGTCCTGCTGGCTTCCAGGGAGAGGATTGCGACCAAGGTGAGTGGCTGGCTCCTGGGGCTCCCGGCGGTCTCTGTGGGTCTAGGCTGCCTGCCTGGCTGGAGGGTGGGCTTCAGAAGGCCTGCATGGCTGTCACTATTGGCCTCCTTCGCCTGAGCTCAGGTGGTGCCTGGCCTTGACAGCTTGTCACACAGCAGTGGTGCGGCTGCTAGTCTGAGTCTGGTCTGCTTAGGGCAGGTCTGCTCTGGGCCTGGCCCAGAGAGGGGTTGGTGCTTCTCCAAACTCCTCCCTTGCCTCGACTGGAACAGACTGTGGGCTTCTCTTGGAGGCTGGAGCAGCAGCTTCCTCCTCACATGTGAGCCGGCAGCAGAGGCTGCCCCTGGAGGTGGTGGTTCGGAGAGTGGTCTGGGCCGCAGTGCCGGCCTGGGGTCATGGCTGCAGGCCCCTGGATGTGGATGCTGCGGCCTGGGTCTAGCAGGCACAGAGCCTGGGAGCCCCACACTCACATGGCAGGCAGGGGAGGAGGCTGTTAGGAGCTGGCTGAGAGATGGACCAGCTGAGTCCGTGCTTAGGTATTTCTGGAGACCCGGGGACTAACTCCCCAAAGTGATTCCAGCCCGGCGTGCATGGGGCTGGAGGCTTTTCCAAGAGGGCTAGGAAGCTGGGGGTGTCCTGGCTGCCCCAGCTTGCACTGGCGGGAGGTGCAATGACCAGGACAATGGCATGTGGTCCTCGCCAAGCAGAAAGCTGAGCAAGCTGATCTGAGGCTCAGAGCTGCGGGATGGTCACTCCTCAGTCTCATGACCGGGGTAGGAAATACCCGAGTGTGTCATCGGCTCATGAGGGGAAGGAAGACACCCTCGGCATGAGTAACGGAGCTGCCGCAGCGGCCACCGACAGGGCCTGGGCAGGTTGGAGCCTCCCTTGGCGCGGTGCACGCTGTCCACACCCATTGGCCGGGAGAGACGGGAGCCACGAGGGCCTGCCGTGTGACCAGCATGACCACGTCCTGGGCTGGAGAGTGAACGAGAAGCCCGGTGCCAGCCCCCTCCTCTGCCTCCCTTGGGGCCATACTGGGGGCTCTCTGGACTCAAGCCCCCCCAGCATGGGCCCTTCCCCTCCCCACTTCCATCTGGGGAATGAGAAGGGGCCCGCAGAGGGAGCAACGTCCACCCAAGGACCCACCAGCCAGCTCTTAGGCCACCCTGGTCCCAGCCACTAAGGGTCGGAGCACTCTAGGCCAAGACTCCCGACCTGGCCTCGCAGGAGCTCTGTGGCCTCAGGCCGGTGTGCAGTGGCTCTGAGTGTCCACTCCCCATCTGTGCACAAGCCCTAGGGCTTCGTGAGTGTGTGGACGTGGGACTCGCTCCTCCTGACTCCCTGGCATCCTCTCCCACCCTTCCTCCCACTCCCCTCCCCAAACGTGTACACGCACACGTGCACACACCACTTACACACACACACACATGAATGCAGGCAGGCGCACGCACACACACGCCAGCAGTTCACCCTCCCCTGATGCCTGTGACCCTCCTTCCACTCCCCGATCTCTACACCGGAGACAGTGAGGAGGCCTCGCCAGAGACGCACCTCCACCGCTCCCAGAGCCCCCAGTTCCTAAGAGGAGGAAGGCTCCTGCCCTGCCCCTCCTCCGCTCCTCCTCTGCCCCTTCCCCTCTTTTGTTTAAGAGCCTCTGGTGCCCCGAGGATAAGCCACAGGATGACATCTGAGTGCTGACGTAAAGATCAACACTCTTTATTAAGATAACATCCCCTCTGGTTGGATGGAAACTGTTTGTCTGGAAACTGTTTCTGCCCCGCACTCATCTGCCCCAGTTAGTGGAGGGGGCTTCCCTGAGGCCCTGTCGGGCTGCTTTGACCAGCGACCCCCCAACCCTGTGAACACCACCCAGTGCCCTAGGGCACGCTGAGTGCCAGGCCTGTAGTCCCAGGGACGTCCCTGTGGCCCTGTGGGCGGGTGTCCCTGGGGATGGGCCCTGGTGACAAGGGTTCACCGGCGTGTGTACTCAGGGCCTCAGCGGGGCCAGGCCTGGTGCTTTGCCTGTATTACCAGCGCTCCTCCCCAGGCTGGGCACGTCCTGGCTCTCAGCCCCGCTGTGGGCTTCTGACGCGTGGGCTCTGTGGAACTTGGGGGTGCAGCACAGGGTCTCTGTCGACTGCCTTCTTGGGGCTGCTGTGATGCCGTTGTGAGCCCAGGGAGAGGTTCAGTTCGAGCAGCAGGCAGGGGCATCACAGTGACTGCGCCTTGCTGGGGGAGGCAAGAAGGCTGCCACCACAGCTCCCGGCCCAGCCTCGTGCTCTGTTGTCCTCACAGGGGAGGCCAAGGCCGGGCCCTTAAGGGCAGGGCAGGCGTGGGAGAGTAGAGAAAAGCTCTGCCAGGGAGGCCGATCCAGGGCTCCCAGCACCCACGGCTCTGCCAGGCCATGGGGAGTGGCCCCTGCAGGCCCTCTCCAGGGGTCCCGATCCTCAGCCCCCACGTTCTCTCCCGAGGTCCCCCTTCCTGGGATGCTCTGACTCCCTGGCCTCTGTGCTCCCTGGGGTCTCATTCACCTGCTGGGTGGAGGAGGGGGACCCTAGGCCTCCAGGAGGCCACCTGCCCTCTCCATTCTAGCCCTATCCCACAGGGAAAGGGCAGTGGCTCTGGGGGTGGAGCGAGTGGGTGCACAGCCTCCCTAACCCTAGGGCCGAGTCCCTGGAGGGGCTCCCAGCTGGATGTAGGGGAGTAGGAGAGACTGGACCAGCATCGCCAGGTTGGGCTGGGGGCACACTGGCCTGACCAGGACAGGTCCTCTGGTGACTATGGTGGCGGAGGAAGAGTAGCCCCTACCTCGGGCTCCCGGGAGCTCTCCAGGGTCCTGGACAGCTGAGGGATCTGCTTCAGCCTCTCCCAGGCTGCCCCAGCAGCCCTGCCCCTCCCCTCTCCTCCCATCCGTCAGCTCCCCTTTCTCCCCTCCCTTGCCTGTTCCTTTGACCTGCCTGGCCACTCTGGGGACCCCAGGTGTGCTCAGCAGCCCCCCAACCCCGGGGCTAGAGCCAGAGCCCATGTGGGGAGGCGTGGGAGGCACACTCGCCAGGAGCCCCTGGGGGAAAGGCTCTGGTCGGGCCGCTCCACATGGCGTGGCTGAGGCCCCTCGTGCTTCTTCCTGCAGAGTGCCCGGTGGGGACGTTTGGCGTGAACTGCTCAGGCTCCTGCTCCTGTGGGGGGGCCCCCTGCCACGGGGTCACGGGGCAGTGCCGGTGTCCGCCGGGGAGGACTGGGCAAGACTGTGAGGCAGGTGAGTGTCGGCTGCAGCCCCGGTTCTACCTCCCTGGGCTGCACAGCTCCGAGTTGATGGGGCCCTGAACTGTGGGGGCCCCAGCCCTGCGGATCCCAGGCCTGTCTGTAACAGATGTGAGAACTCAGAGTGCACTCCCGTGTGGTAGGGAATGGGGATCTGTGGCTGCCCCACCAAGCCCCTGGGGCCTACAGGCTGCCCTCTCGAGCTGCTCCCTCTCTCCATGTGGTTCCCAGTCTCTAACGGGCTTGGCTCCTTGTGTTGCCAGCTGAACTGTGCCTGGGGCTGGGGCTCCTCTCCCATGGTGGGCACCCCGCAGCCTGCAGCCCCAGGAGGCGCCCGGGCCCTCTCTCCTCCCCGGGGCAGGCTGAGATGGTAACAGTGGTTCCGCCTCCTCGGCTGTGGCTCCAGGGGCATTGTGCCATGTTGTGTTTATTGATGTGTTGAGCAAGGACAGCTTGGGCACTGACTGGCCATGGGGGGTGGGTGCTAGATTGTCCCGAGGGCCGCTGGGGGCTGGGCTGCCAGGAGATCTGCCCAGCATGCCAGCACGGTGCCCACTGCGACCCTGGGACTGGAGCCTGTCTGTGCCTCCCTGGCTTCGTCGGCAGCCGCTGCCAGGATGGTGAGTGAGCTGGAGCCGCCCCTGAGCCTTTGACCCGGGGCAGGTGGCCAGGCCCCACTCACCCTCTCTCTTCTGCCTGTAGTGTGCCCAGCAGGCTGGTTTGGTCCCAGCTGCCAGACACGGTGCTCTTGTGCCAATGATGGGCACTGCCACCCAGCCACCGGACACTGCAGCTGTGCCCCCGGGTGGACCGGCTTTAGCTGCCAGAGAGGTACAGGGACGCTTGGCTTGCCCTTTGTCCAGACGTCCCTCCTTTCCTAGCCCCTGGAGAGGCCTCTGCCCAGGGTCCCTGAGGACTGGGGGCTTGCATGAGGCAGTGCCCCAGTCCTGAGATGCCCCTGTGCCTGACTTGGCGGTGGTACCTGTGGCCTGCACTGGGGCCTGCTCTGGATGACTCTGAGTTCTGTTGCAGCCTGTGATAGTGGTCACTGGGGACCTGACTGCAGCCACCTCTGCAACTGCAGCGCTGGCCACGGGAGCTGTGATGCCATCAGTGGCCTGTGTCTGTGTGAGGCTGGCTACGTGGGCCCGCAGTGCGAGCAGCGTGAGTCCTGGCCCTGCCTTTGGCCGCGCCCCCCTCCTGAGCACACACACACAGAACCTTTGGCCATGCCCCCTCCTGCGTGCACACACACATATGAAGCCTTTGGCCACACCCCCTCCCATGCACACACACATGCACAGAGGCACACACACACATGAACACACACAGAACCCTTGGCCGTGCCCCCTCCTGTGTGCACACACACAGATGAAGCCTTTGGCCACACCCCCTCCTGTGCACACACACACGTGCACATGCACGCACACGTGAACACACACACACAAAAAAAACCTTTGGCCAATACTCCCTCCTGCGCGCACACACACACGAAGCCTTTGGCTGCGCCCCCTCCTGTGAGCGCATACACACATGCACATGCATACACACACACACACAGACTTTGGCCGTGCCCCCTCCTGCGCACCCACACACCCCAACACATGCACACACACACATGCACACTGCGGCTGGGCCCTGGCCTGGCTTCCTCTGCCTTCCCTGAGCTTTCCAGCGCCCACCACCCCGCTCCACAGCCGGGACTAAAGTCTAGCCTGGACTAAATGATGCCCCCGCTGTGTGGAGAGTGTATGAGGTCCCTGCTTAGCCCAGGGTGCTGCAGGGGGTGTGCCGGGTCCTCCATAGGAGACTCCCTCCTGCCACCTGTCCTGAGTGACCAAAGCTGCCAGGCAGCCCCCCGGGAATGATGCTTTGCTCACTTGTGCCAGAGTGTTGGTCCTCTCACCGACCTGCACCAGGCTCACCGGAGATGCAGCAGGAAGGGGCAGGTCCCGTGCCCCACTGCGGGAGGCCTGGCACCTGGGGGATGGAGAAGGGGTCTGCTTAGGACTGAGGCTGGTGTCCCCCAGTGTGTGCCCCCAAGGCTTGGTTGGTGGAACTAGGGGAGGCCTGGGTCGGGTGTCCTAGAAGCAGCCCCTACAGAGTTCCCATCCCTAAAGCTGCTGCCTGGAGCTCCCTCAAGCCTCCCGTGGCCCCACCTGGGTGGGATGAAGCGTGTGAGTGAGCCCAGTCTCCCTTGGGTGAGAAGGGGCTTCTCACGAGCCAGGCCTGTCCCACAGTCCTGGGGAGGGCGGCAAGGCCCAGGCACAGCTGGGTCAGGCTCCTGGCCCTCTGACTGATAGTGGGCCGGGGCTGCATGTCTCAGGGTGTCCCCAGGGCCATTTCGGGCCCGGCTGTGAGCAGCGGTGCCAGTGTCAGCATGGAGCAGCCTGTGACCATGTCAGTGGGGCCTGCACCTGCCCGGCCGGCTGGAGGGGCACCTTCTGCGAGCGTGGTGAGCCAGGGCACAGGCGGGGGCTACCTGGGTGGACTCCAATGTGGGCCCCTTCACATCACTGCCCCCTGCCTGCAGCCTGCCCGGCCGGCTTCTTTGGATTGGACTGTCGCCATGCTTGCAACTGCACTGCCGGAGCCACCTGCGATGCCGTGAACGGCTCCTGCCTCTGCCCCGATGGCCGCCGGGGCCCCCGCTGTGCCGAGAGTGCGTGAGGTCCCTGCTTAGCCCAGGGTGCTGCAGGAGGGGGTGCCGGGTCCTCCGTAGGAGACTCCCTCCTGCCACCTGTCCTGAGTGACCAAAGCTGCCAGGCAGCCCCCCTGGGAATGACGCTTTACTCACTCGTGCCAGTGTTCGTCCTTTTTTGTGGCCACTCTGCTGAGTGGGTGGCCTGAGCCAGAGGGAGGGGAGAGTTGGCCACAGCAGTTGAGGGGACCCTGGCAGATCTGCCCAGCTGCCTGTGATCTGCTGCCAACCCCTGGGGTCCTGTCCACCTCCAGCTCTGACCAGTCCTCTCCACCTGCAGCTTGCCCAGCCCACACCTACGGGCACAATTGCAGCCAGGCCTGTGCTTGCTTTAACGGGGCCTCCTGTGACCCTGTCCACGGGCAGTGCCACTGTGCCCCTGGCTGGATGGGGCCCTCCTGCCTGCAGGGTAAGCCCCACCCAGGAGTCCAGGGACCGGGGTCTAGGCCTGAGTGAGGGTGCTGGCCTCTTGCGGGGCCCAGAGGACACTTGGTGCCTGCGGGAGGGAGGAAGGGGCTGTTAGGACTGAGGACCGTGCCTTTCACCTGTGCCCCTCTCCAGGCAGGGATGGTGAGTCAGGCTGAGCTAGCAGGTCATCCTAGAGGTAGCCCCTTGCAAGGTCCCTGACCCCAAAGTCCAACATGGGGCTGGAAAGCCAGACAGATCCTGTGGGGCCAGCTGGCTGGGGGATGCAGGTTGCTCCCTCTTCCCCGGCCCCAGCCTGCCCTGCCGGCCTGTACGGCGACAGCTGTCGACATTCCTGCCTCTGCCAGAATGGAGGGACCTGTGACCCTGTCTCAGGCCACTGTGTGTGCCCGGAGGGCTGGGCCGGCCTGGCCTGTGAGAAGGGTGAGTCCTGGGCGGCAGAGGAGGGACATACCCCAGCATGCCTGGTGCAGCCCTGTCTGCAGGCCTAGGAGGGCTCCCAGGTCAGGGGGCAGCGCCCTGGGGTGGGGGCTTTGGCCCTGTGTAAGGGAAGCATGAGCCAGAGTCTCCTGGACCCAGGAGGCAGGACCCTCACCCTCGTGCCTGCCTCTGTTCCTGTAGAGTGCCTCCCCGGGCACGTCGGAGCTGGCTGCCCGCACAGCTGCAGTTGCCTCAACAGGGGCCTGTGTGACCCGCGCACGGGCCGCTGCCTCTGCCCGGCCGGCTGGACTGGGGACAAGTGTCAGAGCCGTGAGTGGGGCGGGGCAGCAGGGCAGTCTGGAGGCCCTGCTGAGAAGGGGTGTCGTGAGCCTCATTGCAGGGCTGAGGACTGTGCCCGGGGCGGGGCCTTACCAGGGGATCTGTTGTCCTGTGAGTGCAAGAGCTGCCGTCTGAGCACCAAGGGTTCCTGTAGGCGGGGGCTCAGCCTAGGAAGCTGGCCTGTGGGGAGAGTGCTGCTGCCTTGCCTTGGCAGGGGTGTGTGGCCCCAGCCAGCCCTGTGGTGGGTGGAACGGAGGATGCTCTGGGGCTCGGGGGCCGCTGCTGCTTCCTGCATGCAGAGAGGGGCCCCTTCACCCCTTGTCCTGGAGCCTGTGCTGGCTGGGGGCCTCCTGCCAGTGAGGGGTCTGCCTGTGGCTGCTGTGCCAGCAGGGCCTGGTTCACCCAGCAGGGCCTCGGCCTCTCCAGAGCCCAGACATACCAGGGCAACACTGCCTCATTCCTCAAAGCTCTGGCCTCCCATCCAAGCCCCTAACACCAGCCCCCTTCCAGCAGGGGCGCTGTCCTCACTGCTTGGGGTGCAGCGTGGGCGGCCCCTTGCTCAGGGCCGGAGCCTTGGGTCTGCTGTCTGAGGGAAGCCTGGGCACTCGGCTGGCCTCAGGGCTGTCGCTGGCTCCCGTCGCCTCAGTGCTGAGCCCCAGCTGCCATCTCCCTGCTCCTTCGCCTTCCATGGGGCGGGGCCGCTGGAGGCTGAGCTCTCAGCCCTGTCTGGTCCCTGCAGCCTGTGCCAAGGGCACATTCGGGCCTCACTGTGAGGGGCGCTGTGACTGCCGGTGGGGAACCACCTGCCACCATGCCACCGGGGCCTGCTTCTGCCCTCCAGGGTTGGGGGGACTCGAGGTGTGAGAATGGTGAGCACAGCCCCCAGTTCAGCCAGCACCGGGTGGGTCCTACCCACAGCATCCACTCTGGGCCTGTCCTGGCCCACAGATCCCCAGCAGGCCCCTCCCAGGAAGCCTCCCCATCCCTCATCTTTCTGCAGGCTGCCTGCGGGGCTGGTTTGGAGAGGCCTGTGCCCAGCGCTGCAGCTGTCCACTCGGCGCTGCCTGCCACCACGTCACTGGGGCCTGCCGCTGTCCCCCTGGCTTCACTGGCTCTGGCTGCGAACAAGGTAGGTGCTCCCAAGCCCCCACCCCGAGGAGCGACTGGGTCGGGGGAATCCAGAGAGGCCACCTGTTCCTTGATTGGGCTGGGCCAGGACCGACCCTGCCTGTCTGCACCCAGCCTGCCCACCTGGCAGCTTTGGGGAGGACTGTGCACAGACGTGCTGGTGTCCCGGTGAGAACCCAGCCTGCCACCCTGCCACTGGGATCTGCTCATGTGCTGCTGGCTACCACGGCCCCAGCTGCCGGCAACGTGAATGCTGCCCATGCCCACCCAGGGGCTCGGGAGTCCTGCTGGGCCAGTTCCCCTGGTCCCCGGGAAGGCCCTCGTCTGAGGGGGTGGAAGACGGAGGGTGTCGGGGCCTCACGAGAGCTGCCTTGCTGTGTTCAGGGACTCTGGGGAAGCTCCAGCCCCAGCCCCTGCAGCTAGCCCTCTCCCTGCAGGATGCCCGCCCGGGCGGTATGGGCCAGGCTGTGAACAGCTGTGTGGGTGTCTCAACGGGGGCTCCTGTGATGCGGCCACGGGGGCCTGCCACTGCCCCTCTGGGTTCCTCGGGGCGGACTGCAGCCTCAGTGAGTGGCTGGTGGCGGCAGGGCTGAGTGGTACCTCCTGTGTCTCCGGGGTGGGGCCAGCCAGCCTGCAGGAGGACGGCCCCCAACTGCCCACCTCCCTGCCCTTCAGCCCCCTCTGGCTGGGCCTGGCCCCAAGTGGGACTAAGCCAGAGGGGCAGCCCTGGGGATGTCTGTGACACCAAGTCCCCACCAGGCTTCTGCTAGCTCTGTCCCTGCACCTGCTGTGCCTGGTGACCTGCGCCATGTCTGCCAGGGGCTTGAGCACAGCCGGGCACAGAGGTCAGCTGGGCAGCTCAGCTGTGGCCAAGTGTCCTGCCAGGAAACAGGCCTTTTCCCGGAGTCGTGCAGGGACTTTCCCCTTCTGGAACCCGGCAGAGCTGGCGGGGTGGGTGGGGGTGGCAGTGAGTCGCTGCAGAGCGGGTGGCAGCGGCCGGACCCCCAGCAGGGCCCGTGGGTGGAAGGGAGATGCCAGGGTGGGTGCATGGGAGCTGGCTGGCCCCACCCTGTCTGGGGCAGACCCAGGGTCCCCTCACCCCATCCCATCCTGTCCTATCCCCCCTCCGGGGTTGACTGGGCAGGGAGAGAAGGGAAGCCAGCCACGCTCACCGCTTCCTCCCCGGCAGCCTGTCCGCAGGGCCGCTTCGGCCCCAACTGCACCCGTGTGTGTGGGTGTGGGCATGGGGCGGCCTGCGACCCTGTGACTGGCACCTGCCTCTGCCCCCCGGGGAGAGCCGGCGTCCGCTGTGAGCGAGGTGGGTGTTCAGTCTGGAGGGTGTGCTCACGGGCCCCTCAGAGATGTCACTGATGAGCCATGGGGATGCTGGAGGGTGGGCCCAGCCCAGGCACCCACACATCCTGGCTGCCACCGGCTCCCCACTTGACCGTGGGGCTGAGGCGAGAGTGCTGTAGCTTGTGTTGACTGTGCTGCCCTACTTGGGGGGATGGACCGTCCCATGCCACCCCAGCCCCTGCCTCGACACTCTGCTCCCGAGGCTTAGGCCACCCAGTGACCCCACCCTCATCGAGGTGGCCGTGAGGGCTTCAGGTTCCTACCCAGCGCCTGCCTGGCCCCTTGCAGGAGGGACCGGGTGGCTGTCTTCTGCCTGAGGGTGGAGTCCTTCCGGCCCTTTCTCCCAGACCCAAGGCCCAGGGACCAAAGTGGAGGCGGGTCTAGAGCACAGTCCAGAGTAGAGAGACGGGCTGGACCCAAGGGACAAGCGTGGTGGCTCCTGCTCCCACAGGCCCAGTCCCCATAAACACAGCCACAGCCTCTTGGGCTGGTCCCACCCTTAGTCTGCATCAAGGGGCTGGCTGCCCCCCACACCAGTTCTTGGCCTTCGGGACCCGTTGGGAGCCTGTGGCAGCAGAGGGTTCAGGATCCCAGGGCCCAATCTCCAGCCAGGATGTAGCCTGGCCCCGCCTCACTGCCAGGAAGGATAGTGCCATTGGGCTGGTCACCAGGCATCCAGCTGTAACAGCAGGGCCGCAGCTGGCCACCTGAGCCCACGGCAGCCCAGCCATGTTACTTCTCAGGCCTGGAGGATGTCCACTGACTCCCAGCTGGGAGACAGCTGGTTCACAGTGGGCCGCTGCCTCCATGAAGCCTTCCGTGAATCCCTTCCTGCAGGCTGGGCAGGCGCTCACCCAGCCCCCCATGACTGAGCCACCCTCAGTTCCTAGACCAGGCCTGGTACTTGGCAGCCTGAGATGACCAATGAATGAGAGAATGCGGCTGGTGCTACTCCCTGGCATGTGCCTGTCCAGCAGGCAGAGACTAGCACTGACAGGCCTCAGGAAGCATTTGACTGTCAGCCTGTGGGGACACGTCCCCAGAGGGAGCCCAGCCCTCGGCCAGAGCTCCAGGCAGCACCTGCCTTCTGTCCCCAGGCTGCCCCCAGAACCGGTTTGGCGTGGGCTGTGAGCACACCTGCTCCTGCAGAAACGGGGGCCTGTGCCACGCCACCAACGGCAGCTGCTCCTGTGGCCTGGGCTGGACAGGGCTGCACTGTGAGCTGGGTGAGTGTGTGGGGCCAGTGGGACCCCAGCATCCCCTCAGGGATGTGCCCTGGGCTGCCATAGGGTTGGGCAAGGCTGGTGCCTGAGGACTGTCCGCCCGTTTCTCCCCGCCCTGCTCTGTCCCCAGCCTGTCCCCCTGGGCGCTATGGAGCCGCCTGCAGTCTGGAGTGCTCCTGCCGCAACAACAGCACGTGTGAGCCCACCACGGGCACCTGCCGCTGCGGCCCCGGCTTCTACGGCCAGGCCTGCGAGCACCGTGAGTTGGGGGCCTGTGCAGCTGGGCTGGGGCCCCTTTCAGCCACTGTCCACTCCTCCCGTGTGGGTGATCTGGATTGCAGTGAAGTAGATAGGTGGGGAGCCAGCAACAGTGGGGAGGGACGAGGAAGGGCAGGAGGGGGCTTCTCACGGGTCCCCGAATTGGCGGGTTTTACTCACTCTGGGCAAACTGGACATTTCTGCCACCGTGTGCCCTTGTCTCATGGTAACTGGCATCCTTCAGCCTGTCCCCCTGGCTTCCATGGGGCTGGCTGCCAGGGGGTGTGCCAGTGTCAACATGGAGCCCCCTGTGACCCCATCAGTGGCCGGTGCCTCTGCCCCGCTGGCTTCCACGGCCACTTCTGTGAGAGTGGTGAGTGCTTCATGCCCTCTTCCTCTCCCCACCCTGAACCCCCGCTCCCTGGCCCCATCCTGTCTGGGTACAGGGCAGGCGGGGGACACTGAGCCCACTGCCCCCACCAGGGTGTGAGCCAGGTTCATTTGGAGAGGGCTGCCACCAGCGGTGTGACTGCGACGGGGAGGCACCCTGTGACCCTGTCACCGGTCTCTGCCTTTGCCCACCAGGGCGCTCAGGAGCCACCTGTAACCTGGGTGAGTCTGGGGTCCTGCTCAGGAAGGGCGTGGGTGTGGGTCTCCAACAGTGACCAATACTGATAGGTTGGGCCCTACCTGTGCCAGTCCTGGGCTGGGCACTGTGCCCTCCTATGGCCTCTGCACCTGGCCCATGCCCTCTGGGGGGATTGGAGTCAGCTGCTGGGACATGCAGTGCCAAGCACGGCACTCCTGCTGGAGCCTTAGGCCAGGCTCTGCCCTGTGGGTCCCACAACGTCCCAGGAAGGCCATGGTCATGGGAGGGGCTCTGGCCGGGTGGAAAGACTTCCCTGGATCGGGGGATGTCGAGGGGGCTGTGGCCCCTCCAGCCCAGAGGGCCCCACCTGAGGATAGGAGGCGCCCACCTGAGGATAGGAGGGTCCCACCCGAGGATAGGAGGGGCTCACCTGAGGATAGGAGGGTCCCACCTGAGGATAGGAGGGGCTCACCTGAGGATAGGAGGGTCCTACCTGAGGATAGGAGGCGTTCACCTGAGGATAGGAGGGAGTCACCTGAGGATAGGAGGCGCTCACCTGAGGATAGGAGGCGCTCACCTGAAGATAGGAGGGGCTCACCTGAGGATAGGAGGGGCTCACCTGAGGATAGGAGGGTCCTACCTGAGGATAGGAGGGGCTCACCTGAGGATAGGAGGGAGTCACCTGAGGATAGGAGGGTCCTACCTGAGGATAGGAGGGGCTCACTTGAGGATAGGAGGGAGTCACCTGAGGAGGATAGGGAGGGTCCTACCTGAGGATAGGAGGGGCTCACCTGAGGATAGGGAGGGGAGTCACCTGAGGATAGGAGGGGCTCACCTGAGGATAGGAGGGGCTCACCTGAGGATAGGAGGCGCTCACCTGAGGATAGGAGGCGCTCACCTGAGGATAGGAGGGGCTCACCTGAGGATAGGAGGGTCCCACCTGAGGATAGGAGGGTCCTACCTGAGGATAGGAGGGGCTCACCTGAGGATAGGAGGGGCTCACCTGAGGATAGGAGGGTCCCACCTGAGGATAGGAGGGGCCCACCTGAGGATAGGAGGCGCTCACCTGAGGATAGGAGGGGCCCTGCTGCTGGGGCTGCATACCTGGCCCTGTGGCTCTGAGACCTGTTGTGCCCTGAGGGGGCATCCCTGACCACTGGCTCCCATTTGCCCTCCTGGGGCAGGGCAGGAACACAGTGGTGACTGGGTGTGTGCCTCGGGCCTGGGCTTTCTCATGCAGGAGCTCACTGGCTGCAGAATGTAGCTGAGGAAGGCAGGGCAGGGACTGTTTACTCCTCAGGGGAAACCGAGGCCCAAGGTCTTAGCTCCCACACATACCCAGGCGGAAGCTTCACAGCACCTGGGCTCTGCCGGGGCCCCCTAGGCCCAGGGTCCCTGGCGCAGGAAAAGCAGGGATGATGCTCAGGTTTGTCTCCCACCCCCCGGCCTTGCAGATTGCGGAAGGGGCCAGTTCGGGCCCAGCTGCACCCTGCACTGTGACTGCGGCGGTGGCGCTGACTGCAGCCCTGTCAGTGGGCAGTGTCACTGTGTGGATGGCTACATGGGGCCCACATGCCGGGAAGGTGAGCTGGGCTCCCTGGGGAAGGGCGGGAAGGCACCATCCTCCCATCAGCACCAGCTCCACCCTGGCCGAGGACCCCTGTCTCACTCACTGCAGAGTTGGCCAGGTCACCCTATGGCTCTTCAGTCATAGTGAATGTCATCTGTCCCCACCTGGTACCCAGAGTGTCACTTGGCTTCCGATGGGTGGAGTGTGAGCTTCACAGTCACTTAACCAGGGCACGGGGTGGGCCATGCTGCCAGCCGGAAACGGCTTTCCCAGCCCCAGCAGCTGCAAGGCTGGGCTGCAAACTGCACCGGCGGCCTGAAGAGGGTCATGACCCCATGGCTGGGCCGGACTATCCACAGTGTGGGTGGACGCTGGCTATCCCTACCCCTGCTGCCCCCCACACACATGCACCAGGGTGCGAGGGTGTGTTTGTGCACGAATATGCAAGTGTGAGCAGCAGGGTATGTGTGCATGTGTGCCAGTACATGTGTGGCATCCAGTGTGTGCCAGTCCATGCATGCAGTCCTGCACTGGCAGCAGGCACCTGTTTGTGTCAGTGCCTGTGTGTTAGGTGTGCATCAGTGTGTGAATGTGGCCAGTGGGTCTGTGCAATAGTGCCCGCATGTGCTGCAGGGGGCAAAGGCATGTGTGCCAGGCATGTGTGAGCGTGCACCAGCACCTGTGTGAAGGGGACTCCTTAGCACCTAAGCCCTTGAGGCTGTCCTGGAATGTGCTCTCTGCCTGCAGGCAGTGCTTTTGGGATGCCCCCACCCCTCTGGCCAGCCCAGACTTTGCTGCCCGCCCCTTCGAACCGTGTACCCCGCAGCAGTGTTGGGAAAGGTGGTCTCTGCAGAGGGAAGTGAGAGGCAGGCTTGGGGCGCGTGCAGGGCAGGACATGTGGGCGGGGCAAAGGCCGGGCGCCAGGCTACAGGCTCTGCCTTTTGGCTAACTGGGGATTTCACACTTGGGGTCCTCGGCTTGGAGGCCCCCAAATCGTCTTGGCTTTGTGTATGTGTGCATCTGTTTGTGCCTTTCTAAGGCAGTCCTGGCTGCAGATTGTTCAGAGCCTGAAGACAGGGGAGCCCCGATCTCGGTGGAGTGGGGCGGGGCGGGGCGAGGAGGGGCGGGGCAGCAGCCTGTGCGCTGGTGCAGGGGACGAAAGGCTGTCCGGCAGCGGCATCTAGTGGTCAGATATGGTGTTGCACCGCCGGCTGCCGGGCACCTGGGCTGGGTGCTGGGGGCAGTGCCTTGACGTTGAGCTGGAGGCCTCGGGAGCCTGGGGCCTCATGGGCAGGGTCTTGCTGGGCGTGGGGAGTCCTGGGTCCTGTGCCCTCCCCTGGAGTGGACTTGGCTTGGCGTTGGGTAAAGCCCCTGATGTTATGGGTAGTGGGGGTTGGAGGGGCTGAGAGCTCTCCTTTGGGGAGAGGGAGAGCCCCTGGCCCGCCCCTGTTCCTTCCCTGAGTGCAAAGGAGTGAGAAGGGAAGGAGGCTGTGCGGGGAAAGTGAGGTCCTTGAAGCCTGGATGGGGTCATGCCTGGCTGAACTCAAGGCTGGGAGTACTAACATGGCTTGCCCTCTCTCCCCTCCAGGTGGGCCCCTCCGGCTCCCCGAGAACCCGTCCTTAGCCCAGGGCCCAGGTAAGGGGTGTGGGGAGTGCCTGTGGATTTGCCAGAAGGGTGGCTTATGGAAAGTCAAAGCAGAGTGCTGAAGTATAATCTGGGCCCCACAGGGCAGCAGCTGCACCTGGGACCTTGGGGCCCAGGAATCTGGAGCTCAGAGACCAAGGCCAGGGCCAGAGCTGGGAAGGACAGGCTGGGAAGGACAGGCTGGGAAAGACGGGTGGGCCCCGCCCCACCCCCGCCCCACCCCCGCCCCACCCCCGCCCCGCCCCGCTGGGCTGAGCTGCTGAGGGAAGGGGTGGGAGGGGGAGGTGCCAACCCACCACCCAGTCTGTTTTGGGAGCACCCGTCCCGCCCTAGACTGGGCCTCCTTTCTCCTTTTCCCCAGTAGCCACGCTGCCCACCTCCAGCAGACCCATGTCCGGGAGCAGTGGACTAGCGAGGCACTAGCAGAGGCGCCCCGTGGAGCCCGCCTCTCCATTCCAGCCAGACGGGACCCAGGCCTTTGGTGACTACTGAGGACACTTCATGGGCCCAGAGCTCTTGGTACTGCCCTTCCTCTGAGGGCCGTGGAGGGCTGTGGACAGCCCAGCAACCTGTTGCTCTTGGAGGCTGGTATGGCCTTGAGGAGGGAAGCCTTGCATGGCCGCTGGAAGAGAGGCGCCGCCTGGCCTGGCTCTGCAGAACCCAGGGGCACGCTCTGGGCCTGGGCTGAGAAGGCCCCACTCTCCCTGCGGCTCTGAGTTGGGCTGAGGACAGGTGTGGGCGTCAGTGTGGGCGCAGGTGCAGGCACAGGGCCACTGTCCTCCAGGCAGGCTTTTTGGTGCTAGGCCCTGGGACTTTAAGCTGCCCAGCCCGTATTTATGTAAAGGTATTTATGGGCCACTGCGCATGCCCGCTGCAACCCTGGGATCAGCTGGAAGCTGCCCGTCATCTCCTGCCCGATGCCCAGAAACCCTGATTCAGGTCTGTAGGGTTCTGCGGGCTCACCAGGCTGCTGGCGCCGGTACCGTGTAAACCCAGGAAGGTAAAGGAGCAGGCAGCCTCCTCGTGGCCTGTGTGTGTGCTGCGTTACGTGGACTCTGTGTGGGCTCCTCCCTGGGGCCTGGCCAGGATAAGGGTGCACACGGGGACCTCCCAGTGTACCTGGGACCCTTTGCAGGGGTGGGGGTGCCACACAAGTGAAGAAGTTGGGACTCATCTCAGTTCCCGGTGCTATTGGGGAGAATGCTGGGGCTGCATTCGTTACCACTGAGACCCCCTGAGACCCAGAGAGTGGCTGGTCCCGAAGAATGGCCCAGGGGGAGGAAGGCTGGTGTGGAGGGGCAACCTGGACTGAGGCCGAATTCCCTTAGGCCCACCCCACCCACCCCTACCTAAGCATCAGCAGTCGGGGGGAGGGGCTCCCTGGGTGAGTACAGGCCGACCCTCCCGAGCACCTGGCACTCATGGGCTGAGGCTGATGTCTCCTGGAAGAAGGGCCCAGAGTGGACAGTAGAGGCAGAAGGTAGAGGCGGTGGCTGGGGGCTCCTCTGCAGGGTGGGGTGGCCAATGGAGAGGGCTGCACTCAGACTGCAACACAGGATGCTCTCTCCCTTGAGAAGACCCCCTTAGGGTCTGGGCTGCTGCCCCCCATCACCCTAAAACCAGCCAAGGTAGCTGAGGCCCCAGGGCAGAGGATTTCACCAGCAGCAGGAGGAGGAGTCCAGTGAGCTTGGTTGCTCACAGACAGCAAGGGAGCTGTCACAGAGGAAGCCAATGAATGGACCGCCGTGGGGAGACTTTGAAGTAAAACAGTGATAAGGGAGGGCAGGATGGTGGGGATGCAGGAGCAGCAGACGGAGAGAGATGGACTGCGGTGCAATGGAGTGTGGAAAACGCACACTGGGAAATGAAGCATCCAGCAGATGGGGTGAGTGGATACAGCTCAGGAGATTCTCCCAGGAGTAGCAGGGAGGCGTAAAGAGAGACAACGTACAGAAGATAGACGAACGGAAATGGGTAAGGGAGGTGTTCATTCACCTCCATCTAACTGCAAAATACAAAAATAAGAAGTCATTGACATGAAGAACGATGACCAAGACATTCTCAGATCTAAAGGTGAATGATCTCAGTCAGACTGGAAATGCACAAGGTGGAAAAATAACAAAAAAGCCATAAGACCTTGAAGAACATCAATGTCAAAGATAAATTCTAAAGTCCCAGAGAAAAAAGAATGAGAATCGAATTGACCCAAGACTTTACGCGAGAAACACGGAGAGCCAGAAAACTGTGATGTTCCATCCTCAGAGTTTGAAGGAAATATTTGAAGCCTGAATTTTATGTCCAGCTAAACTATCAAGGGCATGCAAAGTCTATGTTATTCTTAGGCCTTCAAGGCCTCGGCCGTTTTTCTACAGAAAAGCCTGATTTGAAAATGCTCTCAGAGACGTTCTCCAGCCAGAAGAGAAAGCAGCCAGGAGGGTGCTATGAGATATTCAGTCACCACAGTTCCCAAATGGCCCAGCAATTCAGAGAATCAAAATATCCCCATTACTCCCCAGTGGGAACCCCCGAAAGTCTCAGCATGGTGTGAGGGTGTGGACGGGGGCAGGTGCCAATCACTCATCCCACTCAGTGAAGACACATGTTCAGCTACAGGAAGCCATAAGGCAGGCTGAGCTTCTGCCCACCCGGAGGAAATCTCAGCTATCCAACAGCAGTCAGGAACAGAGGAGAATAAAGCAGAATAACTAGAAAACAGGCTCACAGATCCTAATGCTAACGGTTACAAATGACAATGGAAAAACAAATTCCTGACCGTAGATTATATAGTTTCAAATAGCTAGAAGGAGGATACTGGACGTTCTCAACACACATAATAAACGTTTGAGACGGTATGCTCATTACCCTGATTTGATCACTAGACATCCTATGTATCAAACATCACTGTGTATCCAATGAATAGCTATAATTATTGTCAATTAAAAACATTAAACACAGACTAGACTGCATTAAAAATATACTAAATAGTATTTTCACTATAAAAGACATGCTTCAAAGGGTAGAAATACACGCAGAGTAAACCAAAGGAGAATTGGGGCAGGCGTTTGAATATTTCAAGGTGAGAAGCATCATGATAGTCTGTAAATGTACATACACATATATGCACCCAACGAGGCTCAAACATTCATTCAGCAGCGATGGATAGAACAGGTCGAAATAAATCGCTGTCATGGGTGATTTGAATGTACATTTTACAAAAACCAATGGGTTGGCTGGGCACGGTGGCTCACGCCACTAATCCCAGCATTTTGGGAGGCCAAGATGGGCGGATCACGAGGTCAGGAGATTGAGACCATCCTAGCTAACATGGTGAAACCCCGTCTCTACTAAAAAATACAAAAAACTAGCCGGGCGTGGTGGCGGTGCCTGTAGTCCCAGCTACTCAGGAGGCTGAGGCAGGAGAATGGTGGGAACCCGGGGGGCGGAGCTTGCAGTGAGCTGAAATCCTGCCACTGCACTCCAGCCTGGGCGATAGAGCGAGTAGAGCGAGACTCCGTCTCAAAAAACAAAAAGAAAAACCAATAGGTTAAGAAGGTGCGCTTTATAAAAACCCATCTGTTAAGCAAGTAAGTTAGCAATGATAACCTGAATAAGCTTGAACACACATGGTACATCTGTATTTATCCTTACATGTTTACTGTATTGACGTATATGTACCTTTTCAGTGTAACAATATGTATGAAGTTAAGGGGTACATGTGCAGTTTTGTTACATGGACATATTGCATGGTGGAAAAGTCTGGGCTTTAGCGTTACCATTACTGAATAGTATACATATCTGCCCACATCCCTCCCACCCTCCCACCCTTCCAGTCTCCAATGTCTGTCATTCCACTGTCTGTCTGTCTGTACATGTTATTTAGCTCTCACATATAAAAGAAAGCATGCAGTATTTGACTTTGTTTCTGGGTTATTTCACCTAAGATAGTGGTCTTCAGTTCCATCAATGTTGCTGGAACAGTCATGATTTCATTCTTTTTTATGACTGAGTAGTCATCCATGGTGTGTGTGTGCATGCAAACACTGCATGTCCATACTACATGGAATGTATATATATATATGTACAATTCACACATGTGCGTGCACACACACACCTCCACACACCACATCTTCATCCAGTCATCCACTGATGGACACAGGTTAATTCCCTATCTTTGCTAGTGTGAACAGTACTGTGATAAACACATAAGGGTGAGCATGTTTTTGATATAATGAATTCCTTTCCTTTGCATAGATGCCCCGTGGTGGGATTGCTGGATCGAATGGGAGTTCTATTTTTAGTTATTTGAGAAAAACCATAGCGTTTTCCATACAGGCTAAGCGAGTTCCACCAACAGTGTATAAGCATTTCCTTTTGTCTGCATCCTCAGCAACACGTTATATTTTTTGACTTTTTAATAATAGCCATTCTGATGGTGTGAGATGATATTGTGGTTTTTTTATTTTTTTTGAGACAGGGTCTCACTCTGTCACCCATGTTGGAGTGCAGTGGCACCATCTCGACTCACTGCAACCTCCGCTTCCCGGGTTCAAGTGATCCTCCCACTTTAACCTCCCAGGAAGCTAACTACAGTTGCGAGCCACCATGCCCGGCTAATTTTTGTGTTTTCTTTTTGTAGAGACGGAATTTTGCCATGTTGCCCAGGCTGGTCTCGAACTCCTGAGCTCACGCGATCTGACCGCCTCAGCTTTCCAAAGTGCTGGGATTACAGGTGCGAACCACTGCACTCGGCCTCGTTGTGGCTTTAATTCACATTTCTCTGATGATGAGTGATACTCACACTTAGGTTTCTGTGTATAAACTTTATATTCAGCAAGTGGAGAATAATGGAATGCTTAAGAAAACCAAAATTTCCTTCTTTGAAGACTAAGAAGCAAGAAAACACCTTGCAAGACTGATTTTTTAAACACGAGAAAAAAATACAGAAGAATCAACTGCAGACACAATAGAGAAGAAGGCATAAAAATTATGAGCAACTATCTACCAATAACTTGGAAAACACTTAGAAAAATGATAACCTGGGGGAAAAATGCCGAGACTGGTGTAAGTAAAGGTTAAAATTGCATATCAGGCGGTGGCCTAAGAAGAGATAAGGAGCCACGGGAGAGCCGCTCCTCCCTCTGCTTAGCCCCAGGAATCCTGGCACAGCTGTAGCGTGCATGGTTACACCAGGTGTACACCATACACTTGTCAACCAGGACTCGTTCCAGAGATTTTAAATGGCGGAAAAACAGCTCACCTCATCCCACAAAGGCAGCGGAAACTTGGTTCTAAAACCGAGAGAGGACAGTAACAAGGAAAGGTAACTGCAGACTCATTCTATGTAGGCAAAAATCCTAAATCAAATATTAGCTATCCAAGTAAGAGTATTTTAGCAAGAACACTGGCCTGACCCAATGGACCAGATCAAAATCAAGGACAATTTCACGTCAGAAGATGCGTCGGTGCATTTGGGTGAGAAGAGAAATCAGATGACTGTACTGATGGCAGCAGAAAGAACGTTGGACAGAGTTCAATGCCTGTTTGGGATAGAAATTCTTGGAAACCTGCCAAAGGACCTTTTTTTTTTTGAGACGGAGTCTTGCTCTGTCGCCCAGGCTGGAGTGCAGTGGCCGGATCTCAGCTCACTGAAAGCTCCGCCTCCTGGGTTTACGCCATTCTCCTGGCTCAGCCTCCCGAGTAGCTGGGACTACAGGCGCCCACCACCTCGCCCGGCTAGTTTTTTGTATTTTTTAGTAGAGACAGGGTTTCACCGTGTTCGCCAGGATGGTCTTGATCTCCTGACCTCATGATCCGCCCGTCTCGGCCTCCCAAAGTGCTGGGATTACAGGCTTGAGCCACCGCGCCCGGCCCAAAGGACCTTTTTAAATAGTGGTTAGGTGCAAATGTCATGTTTAGGGGAGAAACCGATGAATTCAGGTCTGTCCAAAAGATGCCGCCCAGCAGGGCCTGCTGTGCCCACTGGGGTGACGGTCGTCTGGTCCTGCTATACCTCCTCCCAGCCG